TAAGGCGCACTGTCGGCTTTTGAGGAAATTTAAGGTTTTTAGGTGCGCCTTATAGTACGGAAAATACAGTAATCAGAAAATTGATTTAGCTTCCCTGCCGTGTTAGCTTCTTCGAGCATTTGGCATGCCGAGATCAGAAAACTGAGGCTGAGCACCATAGAGAAGAAATGTCATTGCTGTAAAATTTGCAGAGCACATGTGTTAAATATGTGTGGCAAACGTTGGCCATCTAGTTTAACAGGAAATTATGAAAATCGGCAACATGGAAGAAAACAACTTAGCTGTTTCTGAAGGCACAGAAATGGCACAGGAAGTCTTAAACATTTTAAACTGATTTTAAATCCGTTCCTACGGTATGCCATCACTCAGTCAGAGGCTGCTTTACTGCTTGGTGGGAGTACTGTGCGAGACAACTCCCATGATGTAACATACATTCCAAGTATGTGCAATGGGCCTAAAACAAGCAATTGTTTTTTAACAAAGGCAAATTTTGGAAGAGTCTGCTTTTACCCAACCGCACCCTGTCTCCTGAGAATTGTGCAGCTATTTTATAGTTTTTCTTGAGACCACAGTCACAACTCATCCAGACCTTATTCAGCCAGAGAAACCTAGCCTCTATTTTACTTTGTGAAACAATGAGGATGAGTTTGAATGTTATGAAACATTTATCAACACCCCTTTAGTTTCCATTTTAAAGTATTTGACATTATTTTAGCCGAGTAGGCGGTCATTTTCTTTTACCCTCTCAAATCAAGTATCTGATCAAAGTATGTTTGTCCAAAAAATGTGTGAATCAACCCATTTTACTCAGTTTTTTTCAGAGATGAATGCACGTTAGCCAACATGTACAACATTTGATGCTTTGTCCTTAAATATATGCTCCCTGTGTGATATCAGATTTTCAAAATGTTGCTGACACAGTTTCATCCATTATTAACCATCAGTGCTTTACCAACAACTTACCACTTAATTATATAAATTGGAGACATTGAAAGACTAGATGGTAAAAACAAAAAAAAGTTGAGAAAGCGTGGCTTTAATAAAAAGTCAGGTTCCAGTGAAAATCTGTATCATAAGTAATTGTTTCTTATCAGCCAGATTTAACATTTGCCTTGAAACGAGACACTCGCATGTCTCATCCAGGTGTGCACCCACAGTGTTTTCCTGCCTCTACACATTTAAAAGGCCAGGTGTGTCCTGGTGAGTGGCCAAAGGTTTATGACCTTCTGCTCCATCATTTTGTGTTACCTCACACCATTAGCCCATGGTCGTCGTTTCAGCTGGTAGGAATGTTATTGTGGATGTGCACTGGCTTGCTCCAAATGCCTTTTATGACCTTTGGATGCCTGTTGAACATCCACCTTCCCTGTATAAAACTGGAAATCCTTTTGTCCTATTATGTGATTTTACTCGCCGTCTCCCTCTGAAAATTCAGAGTAAATATCCACTTGAGAATTTACATTGCATTTTCTTTCCAGGCTGCTTAGAGCTTCTGATTGTATTTATGAAATTATTACCACAGTTTAAACAATATGTCTGCCCATCTGAAAACATGACTGATGCGGGTTCAAATTGAAGAAATGGTGCACATGTGACATTTCAGTCCTTTACTCCCTTAAAATGTCTGCATTACTTTCCACACTTAATTGCTGCCTGATGAACTTATGTTGAAAGTTTAATGTTCTGATTGTTGGCTGAATTCGTTAGAAAACAGATCCAACTCATGTCAGCCTAGGGTAAGTATTTAGCATGTCAAGGTCAATATATGTTTAGTGCATCTGCAGCAGCTTGGATCACGAGGAAGAAAACCAAAATCTAAAAAAAAAAAAAAATGCCTTACTCTATGAAACTCTACATTCCATATATCAATTTCCATTTTCATAACAGACAAGGCAAAGTATAGAACTCCAGTCCAGCTTGGAACAAATGGGAAAAAAAATTAAATTCATGCACACACTAACACTTAAATGCCACTAAAAGTGTCTTCTTAACCTAAAATGAATGTTTTTGGTTGGTGGAAGAAAGCCAAAATCCCCAAAGATGCAGCTTGCCTGAGCTCAGAGGTCATGGCGCCCTTCTGAGTTGAATACTAGATCCATCACCACAAGGAACAGTGAAGCAAAAGGGGACATTTGACATAATGATGGTCATTGCTGAGCCTATCTATCTCCATACATGGAGTCTGGCAGTCTGGCATATAGAGCGCTTTAACACACAGGCAACACTCCCTCATCCATCCTGCACACAGAAGACATTGGATTCATTTGCAGCTGAACAATCTACTCCCTCTGTTGGCCTTTCCTGTCCAGACGCACTCGCTGCTGCAATCTGTCTGCTGCGAATGAAGATAAATTGGGGTGTGGTGTTCTCCTTTATCAGTCAACATTGAAGTATCTGAAAGTCTCCCGCTCAGATGGCTGAATAATGTCAACTTGAGGACCTCTTTATCCCCCCGCCGGCTGATTTCTTTTATCTTTATCCTCCAGATACATTCCTGGGAACATTCAAGAGCGTTAATGATAAGCAGGAAGCTTCAAAGTTAGAGCACACTGATAATGAAGTGGGCTTTTTATGATGCAGTGATTCTACAACAGCAGGTCATAGAAGGGACTGTAAGAAATGCTGTGTGAAAACTTCTAATGCAAGTTGATGCATTAGATGCATTAGAAGTCCTCTTACATTTGGAAAGAATGTGAGAGGAGGTCCTCTGGTTAAGGTTCTTCAAGAGCTTCCACTAAAATAATGAGATGATATTCAAGTCATTTATGTAGTGCCAAAATACAACAAATGTCATTTTAAGGTGCTTTAAAAACAGACCCAAATGTGCAGCTATATAGAAACAAATTTGGTCCAAATTCAATTTTTTAAAAAGTAGAAATTACAGCAAGTTTATTTGTAAACCTTTGAGACAGACAACCCGAGCTATAAGAAGTAAATTAAAGTTTCCAACACAGCTTGTTGTACTTCTGCTTCTAATTCTCTTCTACTCTTTCATATAAATGTAAGTTTTACATCAGGCCAAAAATGCTTTTAAGTTCTGCATGTGTAGCTTAAGCCAAAAAAAAACAAACTTAAGCGATATTTGATATTATCTTTAACTGACATCAAATGTGCTTTCCAGAGGTGTTGTAATGTAACGTCTGAAACTCCTTCAACCTTAAACATGTTTTGACAAATCTGGCATGTGGTGTTCATTATCGTTTTGTTTTATAAAAGTATGCAGACGCTGATAACACTGCAATCAGTGTAATCTTGATGATTCAGACTGAACTTTAAAATGGCTTCACATGGGAAAATGCAACTATGTTTTGTTGCTCTGCAGGGCAGAATGACAGTTCTGGCTCTGGAGTTGAGTTGATAAATGAACTGTCTCAGACACACTCAGGTCAAATTGTCTAAGCTTTTCCCAGACTTTAGAAAATCTTGTCACACCGGACGAAAGACACGCAGACTATTCTTTAAGCTTAAGATCTTCTCTACATGTTTAAATTGGATCAGAAAAAAGAGAAAAGTTAGAACATGGGGATCACTGCAGAAAATCCAGTGATCCCCATCTTTCTTATCTTTATGTGACAAGTACAAGCTAATATTGACGTGATTATTCAAAAGCTTATGCTGTTCTCCCTTTACTAAAGGTAAGACTAATCCAATTCATATTCAACTTGTGCATTTTAATTAGTGCTTTCCATAAGGTTTCTTTGTTTCTTGCTAAAGTAAAAACTATGCACATCAAGCCTACTGTACGTACAAAACGCTGAATTTTATGTTCTGTTGTGCCCTTAATAAACACATAAATAATAACTTATGACGTTAACCACTCTGCCTGAAATTCTTTTTAATGGGCACGCAAAGAACAAACTTTGCTGAGGAAAGACTGCAAAGTCCATATGAGTCTTTCTGCATGGTCTGATTTCCCCATCAAGCCTCTCTCAAGTGCCTGGACAGAATTTGGCGACAAGCAAGGTCTGATTTACACATCTTCCATTTCCGCTGCTCACCATCTCCCTGTACCTGACAGGAGCAGCTGGACCTCATGACATATAGGCCATGTCATTTCCAAAATTCCTGCAGTGCTGCTCTGCTCTCAGCTTTTATGTCAGCACTCAATATGATGGCCTAATTTTACCATCCCGGGGACGCTCGTGTCCACCCCGTGTAGATGCATATATCTATATATAGTGTATATATAGTGTAAGCTGACTTTTAGTGCAGTTTGATTTCACTTTTTTTCTGCTTTATGCATATTTTAGGGTATAATGGTGTGTTTTGCATTTCTTTTTTTGAAAGGGTAGAAAGTTCATCTCAACGTATGTCTTGGGTCTATAACTAGTTAGCTTATCAAATAAAAGATTGTACTGATACAATCCAGTAGTTTGACATAAATAAAACTTGAAATCCCCAGAGATTCATGAAATCTAGTTTCTATTATACTGATTTTAGTTAAAAATATATATATTAAGGAGAAGAGAAATATCCCTTGTAATAGATTACTTTTTATATTTCTCTCATTCTATTGAAAAGTAGTGTAAACAATGAGCTAGCTGCTGCCATCAGTATCTGCTGACCAAAAATGTCTCATGGTTCGAAAGGGTCTTTGTACAATTGTTGCGTCAGCTTCTCAATGTACCTTGGTGTAAGTAACTTTTAACCTCCAATCTACCAGCCATGCACAAACCACCAACAACCCTCCGAGGTCTTGTTAAGGCCACGGAATGAGCTGCACAGCCCTCTGGGTAATGGGCTGGGGATGTGCTGGAGGGAAACTCAAGCCCTCTTGCCATTCCGGGCAGAGCGCAGCAGGCCACGCTCAGTATCAATGACAAAAGCAGACAGGCGACAAGCAGTGATCCATAAAACATGAGCTTGAGAAAGTTTGTGCAGCAAAGTCAATTATAAGTTTTTGAGAAAGTTGGAAAAAGTTCCATCAGCAGCAAATATAAACCAGGGACTGATTCACAAATACAAATGCAAAAGTACGCTACTGTTTTAGCAAATGCTACACGCTGGTATCCCATGAGCAAGAAGCGACATTGGTAGAAACGGACTGAGAAAATGGAGAAACCCAAGCAGCTGCTGATTAACCTACTGAGCATAAAAGAGCATCATTTAGTGAAATATGGCTTTGCTAGAAGTGCTAACTCTCAGGCAGAAACATTTAAACAAGCATGTGGCCAAACTACTGTGTAGTCCACAAAGACGCAGCAGTGTTGTATAAATTCAGACGAGAGCAAGGAGTTGTTTTGGTTGAAACCATCTGGGAGTCATTTGCAAGGGAACTTCTGGCATTGATTCCAATGGGGCCTGTTTTTGATGTGCAGATAGGCACGGTACACAGTTCGGTCAATGTGAAAATATTCCAAGATAAATGCGACGATGTCATCGTAATTGTGAGGAAAAATTTCAACCTAAACCATGGGCACAGTAAAACAACTTTTATAGCATTTTTCCATACGTCGACATAAAATGTGAGGGATTGACTTGTTCCATATTTTCCAATCGTTTAATTTTAGATCCAAAAAAAGGAGGTAGAATCGTCAAAAATATGTCTACAAAATAAAAATAAAAAACTGTTTTAATGGCAAAGCATTTCAGTTACTTAAAAACAAGCAAATGTAAACCAACTGTGCCACATTAAGACAGTAAACTTTTCCCACAAACAGGGAGCTTTAGTGCTTGGCTTTCTCTCTGTTTTGGATCAAATTAGATCAGGGGCCTTTTTAGGGAGAAATACTATGAGGAAACAATTCTAGGCTCAAATATATAAAAAAGAAAAGTTAATGTTTTTAAAAATTTTGCAGTCTGCTCATGGACTACTGACCAACGTGAGCAATTTTAGTAAAGTTATCTTCATTCTAGTGAGGTAGTTGGTGGTACTTTTGCCCTTCATCAATCAAGAAGGTTCTGGGTTTGAATCCCATCCTGAGGTCTTTCTGCATAGTTTGTAGGATCTCCACTTGTATGTGTGTTTTCTTCATCTGTCTTCTGTGAGAGAACTGTAAGCTTCATCTCACACTCCAAAAACATGGCTGCTGGCATATCTGAATACTGCAAGTTACCGCTAGGTATGAGTGTGTATGCATGGTTGTTTGTCCTGTGTGTATCTGTGATGCCCTCTGAAAAACTGGCAAGCTGTCCAGGGTTTACCTCGCCTCTCAGCTAATGACTGCTGAAGGTAGACATCGACTTCCCAGCAACCAAGCAAGAAAAAGTGTGTATAATAAAAATGGATTGTTTCTTACATTTCGTCCCAAACTATGAATTATTTAACAAACCTCTGTTTGGCACTATTTACACACCAGAAAAAGATTTAGAGTTTACAGAAAAAGAAAAAAAGAAAGTTAAACTTAAAGGCAAAAAATTGGATTATAGTAAAAACTGGCATTACATTAATCACCACATAAAAACAAGAAAAACTTTAAATGCAAATTTAAAAGAAATAACTAAGACATAATGAAAGGTTAACTGATTAAGTGTTTTTTTACCTCTGTGGGAAAGCTGAAATAAACTGTAAGGTTTCCCATTCCTACAGAAGAAGGAGCCATCAATTTCTGCACATGTCAGGTTTTCAGGCAGCTGTTGTTTAGCTCTGCTCCTGGAAACAGAGAGTACACACGTCTCTGATGACCTCAGGGTTCTACTCGGTTTATACCTGTCCAGCAGCTGTATGTGGGCTTAAGACTATTCAGATCTTCATTTAACAATAACCGCGTCTAAAGAGCTATTCTTAAACAGAGAGCCGGTTCAGGCCTGGTAAAATGAAGGTCATTTTCCTGGTGTTGGTCAGGAGTCTAGCAGCAGCATTTTGGATGAGCTCCAGCTGGATGTTTGTTGTTACAGGGAGTGATAAAGACACAGATACATTGTAACAACCAACTGAAAATAAAAGCATGCACATTTTCCTGCTGTTCTGTTTAATGAATATGGAGAAATTTTCACTTTTTGAATAAAGTAGTAGGTTGATTTAATATGGATGTTTAAATTTACAGATAAGTCTGCATGACCTCATTTTCTTGCTTGTGATCTTCAGGCTTATTCAATCTAGTTAAGTGTTGATCTCTAACCTTGAACTTTGGGTGTCATAGAGAAGAATGAAGTTGGACAAAATATTAAACCATTCACTAATTGACGTTATGGACTTCCTTACAGTAAGCAACTGGTGTATGTGCTAAAACAGAAATCAATTCGACATACAGGCATATGTACAGTCAGAGATGTTTTAATACTCCATAGTTGGAGCTAGGGGAAATTACTGATTTGTTGAATAAACTGATTCAAGATAAGCACTTTGAGGAACCCCATGAGTGGTCTTTGTTCAATACATATTAAATGAGAAATAGTAGTCCAAGATCTAAGAAGAAGTAAAAGGGAAAAAAGCATCTGATGAAATTACAGGTACTTGTTTTTGTGTTGTTATTTTAAGTGTACATTGGCACCATGTTTGTCTCATTGCAATCAAATGTGCGCCATCATTAATACGTCCCTGGAGCCTTGCTATGCAGATTTTGCCAAATTCAACTTTCATACATAAGACACACAGAGAAAATACTCTTCCACAAACAATGGGAAATTACGCCTGATTATGATGAGGTGTAGTGATTAAAATAATACTGTGCTCTGACAAGTAAAACATATCTGCGATCTCAGAGTCTGCCCTTAAAACATGGGCGATTTACAGCAATGCCCTCAGCAGGTTTGCTGTGCTAAGATTACAATCTGAGCCGCTATGAGAACGCCATTTACTTCAGATGGTTGGTAAATTACAAGGAAAACAAAGCGCACACACCCATATAGCAACATGCAGACACTTTGGCACCGTTACATATAGCTGCTGCTTTGTGAGAACACCTCCAGTATTCCAGCACTAAACTGTGTATGGACATTACTGACATAAGGCACCAGAAATTAAAGGTTGTGTCAGATTTCCACAGACAAACGTTCTTGCTCTTTATAAAGTCGACATGAAACAGCAGAGGCTGGAGTCGTTTGTGAATTCTCTGTGGCTCAAATCTACCCTTAAGCTTAAGTGGCTTCCTGGCAGATTGAAAAATAGTCCTCCAAACTTAGCAAGCACTTTAATCTTGTGGCTTTTCAAGAAATAGGCGGATTTAGCTTTTCCTCAAAGGACAGTTAAATGGCCATATTAACAGAGAGTTTATTATAGCAAAGAAAACCGACAAAATTTGGACAGTTCTCCCAAGCAATAGTTCTATGTTATAAAAAAAAGTTGGCTTTGCAGTAGGAAACCTGACACTGCTTTCAAACAACTGGACACAGAAAGGCAGTGACAAAGCCTGCAAACATTTCATCACCTTTGAGAAACTTCAAGGACTGAAATAAAAGCATCTGTGCAAGAAGCTCCAGCTTTCATTGTTTCGAGGACCTTAAAGGAGGTGTCTTCTTTGAACAGTGAAAAAGCTTGTTGTAGCCTCTCCCCCAGCTCCACGGGTCTCTTTCAAGCTGCAACTTCAGTCTACAGACAGCTGCACACCCGTATGGAACTGCCTCCATGAGTTCCCTGCTGCCTGCATCCATCAGAGAGACAGAAAGATTGATGCACTGCAGGTTGCTGGCATGCACCAGAGGTTAGATTTCACATTAACTTATTAATCAGGGCAGATTTACGTGATCCTTTAGATAAACCAAGACATCCACATCCAGGTATACTGCTTTCACTGCCTGGCACTGGGGTTTCTGTAACCAGGAATAAAAAAATAAAAAAAAAAACGGAGGGATGTTATCTTAAGGGGTGCATCTATACATCTTTGGCATTTAAGACTGAGGGAAAACGTACTTCAGCTTCCATGTTGCAGGACATGAAGAAACATGTCACTGAGAGCAAAGTTGCTCTGACCCAGACAACAGTAATCCAGGAATTATTCTCAGCTTGGGGAAAATGTCTCTGATGTAGCAATATTTAAATAGATTAAATGTAATAGTCCTAAAGCACCCTGTCTCTTAACCTGTGAAAAATCTGTCTGAAGAATAAATCATAAATCAAGAAGAAACTTTAGTATTTGTTTCATAAATAGCAGTACATTTGATACTTATGCTTCATTTAATTTACATGTGCTGTTGGAACTTGATTAAATAAAATGTTCAGTGACCGGGTGAAACACTAGTAGTATTACAAACTAATAGTAATGATTCCATCTGCATTTTGTATTTTCAAATGCTGATGCAATAAGTAAATAACCATTTTTTTACATCAACATCATAAAATTGTAGCTTGCAAAGCAGCCATGTTGGATTATGTATTTTGGGGTCAAGGATTGTGAGAATTATTTGACTGACTCCCACTTTGATTTATGGCCTTCTGTGACTTATGTAAATATTTAACTACCGACATGGAAGTTTCTACTTGTGAGTGAAAATGATTTAAACCATCATTAAGCTGCATCCTTCCACAATGATTTAGTGACAATGCATAAGAATGTTTTATTTAGTCTTTTTTCCTATGATACAACCCAAAACACAATGTTTTAAAAATGACTCCAGCATTGTGAAAACGAGAATTTGAAGAAGTGGTGCTTGTTATAAAAAGGGTGAGGACCGCCGAATAAGAAACACCAGCTTAACGGGGTGGAAAGCTGAATAAATGGAGGCCACAGAGACTGTCAAAGACAGGAAGACTTTTACTACTTGAGGAAGCATGTTTTATATATATATCATGCAAAAATGATTACAACCTAAAAAGATTCATGGCCAAACCAAATTCTGATATGGTTTGTCAAAGAGGACCTGTTTTGAAAACCAGTGACATTTTTATTTTCTATAATTGACTTAGTTTTCTTTATAGAAACATGATTATATTTAACTCTATGAATCATATCCACCAGCAGGAAGTCACTCGGATTATAAAGTTATAATGATAGGTCAAGGGGATCTGAAGAATTAATGCTATATGTTTTTTCTCCAAAAAAAAAAAAAAAAAAAAAAAAAAAAAA